CTGACGAAAACATCAAACACAAAATTCAAGTGTTGGTTTGTAGGGATTTGATTGTTTACGGGATTTTCATCATGAGCTGATATTAGTTAGAGAACCATTGGAAAACCTGGGAGTACTGGACAGCTGGGTCCTGGGTTCGAATCCCGGTGGGTGCGTTTTGCTGAAGAGTCCCAAACTAGGACGAAACAGCTGTTCAATACTCCCAGGTTTTCCAATGGTTCTCGAACTAATGTCAGCTCATGATGAAATCCTGTAATCAAACAGAAAACCCAAAAAGAGAGACGCCATCAGTGCAAAAAAAGATACTTTATATGAACCTCGACTTCAAAGGAGACCTACTCAGTGACGTCCTTAGAAGGAGAATCTCCACCTGTTTAAGAAGAACTTTCTTTGCGGCAACATTGAGAGTAGTCTTCTCTAGTCGCCCGCTGATCTGCAGAAGTCCAAAAGACAAGATCCCGCACCTGACCACTTCTATGTGTATATATCAGTTCACCTGTTGCTGTGGAGCCAGCTAGGTACATCGGTCGTTCGACGCACATCCTGTCAAAAGAGCTGCAGAAAGGAAGTAGTGGCCGTATAAGGAGTGCGACAATCGAACATCTCGTCAGCACTGGTCATTCCATCCCAACAAACGCCTCCTGCTTCAAAGTAATCTACAAAGTGAAGAACAACCTTCCAAAGACAGTACGATTCCGTCTTCTTTGCATCGCAGAAGCCCTAGCCATTAAGTTAGAGGAACCAGAACTGTGCATACAAAAGAAAATTATTCAACCACTTCTGCTCCCATGGTAACAACTGTGTTGATTTGACTTAACTTTTCTTTGTTTGTTTGATTTGACTTAACTTTTGTTTGTATGCTTATTTTTCTAACTACTTAAAACCCTTGCGTAATTCCGTACGTTACTTTGTTTCCATGTACACCCTGAGCACAACTCTTTCATCAAACTATTCACGTTATTATGTAACTCTTCTTTAACAATCGTTTGTGACAATTCATCACTTTTGTTACTAACCTCTTATATCAACATCCAATTCATCTGAACTTATTAATTGTATTTTCGTTTGACAAATTTCATGTACACACATACAAAACAACCGTATATATTTGCGATTGTACAGCTATGGAAATGAATTCGCTGTCGAAAAGAGACTCTTCGCTCAACCACTGGTCTTCTGTCTATTTAGATTTTCAGCACTAATATCAAGTCAACAGGTGCTACTATATATGGTTCAGAAACTTGAAGTGTACATAACAGAAAGCAGATCCAAGAGACTACTGCAGCATCTTATCAACACCTACTTTCGTTCGATGCTGAGCGGCAGATGACCGACCAGAAAGGATAGGCAACAAGGAACTCACTCTTCTAGGCCACCAACTAGCCAAGAAATTATTGATCAATGAACATACGCCACACGAAATAAGACTAAACAGATGCAGAAATAGCACCGAACTGATAGTCCTTTCATTGTTTCTGTATTCAGAGACGCGTATCAGCCTTAAAGTGAGACAGGACGAATTGCTGACCTATGGATAGGCGGATATTACGCCTGCATCAAAGATGACGTAAGTATAAAACCTGGGCACTGTAGTAGGGTGTAACTCCATTATAGATACGATTCTATTTTGATAAATCAACAATGCCCACCAAAACATCGACTTTACTCTTGAATCTGAATCCGACGGAATGTTCCATCCACTTCCTCGACGTTCGTCTGACAAGAAACGCCGACAACTCTGTGAAAAGGTGCATATATGAAAAACTACATGGACTAGACAATTCATCAACTTTCAAAGCTTCGTACCCCTAAGCAGAAAGAGGAACCTTATATACGCTCTTTCCTTGAGGATTCCGAAGATATGCATCGAGGAAATGACTGATGAAGAACTGAGTTATCTCCGAGGAACCCTGATAGAAAACGGTTTTCCACCTAGATTCATAGACAATAATCCCAAATCAAAGAAGACTTCCGAACAAGTTCAATCCATCCCGAAGGAGATACTTCTGCCTAATCTAGAATTCAAAGGTGACATTGAAGCAGAAATCCTTCATAAACGCCTCTGCAAACCTCTGAGGAAGACATACTTCGCCGCAAGCCTACGACTGACGTTTTCGTGCAAAAAACTGTTCAGCCAGAACGCGAAAGACAAGCTGTCGCATTGGGCCACTTCAACGTACATGTATCTGTTAACTTGCTCTCTGGCGGAGCTGTGTACATCGGCCGTACCATGCGCCAACTTGAAAAACGCACTCGTGAACACTATCCAGCCTGGCTAGTAAAAGGAGAATGAAAAGGGGCATATAGTTCAGTGACAGAACATCTGGTCAATTCAGGACATTCAAAATAATATACAAGATTCGACCAAACCTATCAAAGGGAGTGAAATCAAGACATCTGAGCGTAGCCGAGGCACTAGCCATCCAAAAGCTCAAACCCACGCCATGTATCCAAAAGAAATACGTTCAACCCTTGTCCCTGCCGTGGCCATCATAAACAAGTAATTCTTCTAATAGTGACTATCCCATTGACTTTCTTAGCCAAACTTCCTGTTTATTCATGTTATTTTAAGTTTTTCTTAATCCCTCCTATTTACACTACCATTTTTTCATATCCGAAATTCCTGCCTATTTTGTTATTTTATTATTTCTACATATTTAATCTCTGATCGCATAAACAATTGTTCGTCACATAAGTTATGAACCCACTAGATTTTTTATCCAAACATCCTGCCTATTTTTGTTATTTCTACATTTCCAACCCCTAATTGCACAATCAATGTTAATCTTCTCAGTAATTATGATGCTACTTTGTCTGAGCTTTATCCGTCCCCCTGCATGTCTTTGGTGAAGACTGTTTTCCGTGAAGATGTTTTTCAAGGAGTAACTTCTCAAAATATAGTTCATTAATTGGAGATATAATTACTGTATAACACTGTGAGACTCTATCAAAATAAAAATTTACCCATAATGGAATTACACTCTAGATCCTATACTTCACTCAGCTGCATTGTACTGAGTAAAGTTATCGTTAGTGTTCAACAGTTATTTCATTTGAGTGAGCATCGTAAGAAATTATTAAATCAGTCTTCTCGTAGAGAAGTGGAACACCAACTGATTACTTCCCTGATTTCTAAAACTAAACGGTACTTCTGTTAGTTTACTGAATACGTGGTGATTATATTGAAGAAAATATGCAACGAAGAGAGCAGCACACTTGCAGAAGTGCTAGGATAAATCTTGCCTAAACAGAAACGTGTATGTCTAGATTGGATAGTGTACGTCCATGCATCACGCACTATTCAACGAACAATCGAAACAAGTAGACAGCGAAAAAGTAAAACGGAGATATTTTTGTCTGTAGATATAAAAAGCAATGAGACGAGAGATTAACTCCTAATATAGTATCATACAGGAACTTAATGTCATTTTAACAAATACCACTCCCCATCCACGTACACTGTATGCTCTAGTTGTGTTATGTGTGTGTGTGTGATTTCTACAACATACGACTACTAACAATGTTTCAACAACTTGCAATGTAAAAAACCTTAGAGACTAAGCGAACCTTGGACAAAATGTATTTCCTGTCAGGCTAATTAAAAAAACTCCATATCCGTAAAATCCAAAACCATTCATTGAGAAGAACTGAATCATGGGGAAACAGAGCAGAGCAAGACTTCCTTTACAGCTCAAAAATCCTCGATCTACCCTTAAATGATAATAGGTATCTCACCTCATAGGAAAAATGACTGATCATGTCGAACAGTGAACAGACAGGCTCATATCCACACTTATGAATTTATCTTAGGGACGCACAGACATATTAGCAACTCCGTTCCTGCTGCTAAGGCCAATATGGTATTCATGGAATAATCACATACACACATTAGGTTTACCATAAAGTCAGTGACTACGATTCTAGACAGTGTAAGTGTAAACTACCGAAAGTGATCTGATGCAATCAGCGGCGTTCATCTCTTCATATCGAAGTTCTTGATGGATAAAACAACAGGAAAGCAAGCAGACCTCAGACGAACTCAATGCAATTAGATCCCTATTCTTTTGGTCACTTGACAAATATGTTGTGCTTGGATTTCAGAAACAGGTGTCTTAGGACGAGTAAATCAAGCTTGTCGCAAACAATGCATTAGTGTCCGCACGACTAGATACACTAGGTCACACAAATTCATACCTATCAGTACTTCTATGACAAAATTGAGCGAGAGCGGTGACACTTCACATCTATGTTGGACAATGGTCGTTACCACCCAGGCCTGTTATAGCGCCGCATGACCAAGATTAACACTGTGCCCTTTGTCAGCACCCACTTTAACATCAACACCTTCGCAGATAAGATAACTTTGAGCAAATCTTAGTGTACTTTGAAAATTCCTGTGGCTTTTAGGGAAAATGTCGATATTTGGCTGCATTTCCTCAAAATTACTATACTAATCTGTCTTGAAATTTCCTGTCTGCACTTCGACTTATCGACATCGAATACCACCTTCAGGTTTAGGAATATGATGAGTCCCTTGAGGTCAGGAAGTATTTTCTGTTCTACAAATCACCCCACCCAGTTCCATAAAAACTTTCGCGTTACCATGCAAAACCAGTATCTGAGACATCGATTACTACCTACCAGTACGTTGGCTGAAGTCCTAGCCAGCTGTCGCAACTTTTAGATTCGTAGCCACGCGTCACACATTCAACTATCCTTCCGAGTAGCCTGCTCAATATTCCAGCAGTCTAACAGCACGTAGTACTTCAGGTCCTCTCAATCATGGAAATCGAATGACTAGCAACAGCTTTCCTAAGACATCTGTCAGCTAACGTACAATCCTACCACCTGCTTTTACGGCTACAGAGTGAACTGATACGAATCTACAAGATTTTAACTAGACTTGTGTCTTCTGGGACCTAGTGAATGGGTTCGCCACTAATATATAACTCCAAAGACACATCAAGGCGCACGTTAGTATAAGTGAAAACAGTTATAAACATATCATCATTTTATTTGCCACTTGTTTCATTTACACATTCGGTATAACCTCAACGCTGAAACCAACAGACCTGAAAAGAACAGAAAGAAACCAATCAGTGGACATGTCAGATAATAGAAATAACAGTAGCTTCCAATCTGTGATTGAAGCTTCATATGGCACCTACGAAGTCATCACATTGATAGTTAAACTCACTTGCTTTCCGAAACGACTTCACTCCGCAAAGAGAGTCGACTCATATAGAAGGTACTTTGAATGGTTTGGAGACACTTTTCCACCCAGTCACCTGTAAAACACAGGAAGCACTTGGGGGAAATGTTGCATTTTCTTGAAATTACTCCATTACACTGCATCAAATTTGTTTTATTTGGGTGATCACCACAAACAAGCATCAACACTGCAGGGCCAATCGCTACGTGATGTGTGTTGTAGGGCCAATTGTCAAGCAATGATCTGAAACAGAGAGCAAAGCGCACGTTAGCAGGGTGATCACACAAGTTCGTTAGATGCTGTCTCCTGGACAGGAGAAGTGCTCTTGGAAGCCTCAGTGAGTCGAGACTTAGACGAAGAAAGGTCTTTCGTTTGCAGGCTTTCCAGTAGACTTGCCCTGTTTTCCGCTTCTTCCAAGGATGCCGGAGTATGCAAGATGAAGTCTTTCCTGTAACGGAAGTCGACACCTTGCAGGAACTTGCTGAAAACAACTTCTTCGACCTCTGTAAAAGGGCTGCATACTCCGGCATCCATGGAAGAAGCGGAAAACACGTCTACTGGAAAGCCTGCCAACGAAAGACCTTTCTTCGTCTAAGTCTCGACTCACTGAGGCTTCCAAGAATACTTCTCCCGTCCAGGAGACAGCATCTAACGAACTTGTGTGATCACCCTGCTAACGTGCGCTTTGCTCTCTGTTTCAGATCATTGCTTGACGCTTGGCCCTACAACACACATCACGTAGCGATTTAGTTTGAGCAACCGCCAAAAACAACTCCAATATACAATATTGTTTTTACCAATTTACAATATCCATTATCGTTTTTGCGAGCTAGTGTAAACCAATTTGATTTCTTTGTGCTCGCCTCTTGATTGTGAGGTAGAGGTTCCAGATCTTCGGTGAACTTATGCGCAGTAAATCTCGCCACTCGACTGCTTTAGCTCTGGTAGACTCCAAGAGGAGTGGTGCGAGGATTGGTCAAGATGTGGTTTGTAGTGTGCAGTATGTTAGGACTCAGTTGCTGCCGTGAATGGAGTTTGACCTAACACCCGTTGGTCATTCGGTGTAGTCATAAAAGTAGAATAGTAATAATAATAGGTTGTAGTGTAGATAATATAGGTTGAGATAAGTAAAATAATAAAGGTGACCAAAGAAAAGATAGAGTAGTCGTTACAGTGAGAGAAGACAGAACGGGTCGTGGGAATTTAGCTGGTATGCCTACCCATTGACAATGTGGTTTCAAATTTTAAGAGGATAAGCCATTGAGACACAAACCATGCATTTCTGCATGATTGTCCGGCTTCCGCTTGAAAGTCTCCACAGATGGCGCTGTAGTCACGGCCGCCGGTAAGGCATTCCAGAGACGGCAAACTCGAAGCGAAAAGAAATGTGAACGCACTCGAGTCTTTGGTCTCTGGTGTGCTATCCTTAGCGGGTTACCTCGTGGAAGCCTATAATCACTTAATGGCCGGATGCTTTTATTAGGGTGGGCCTGGTCATTTAAGATCTTATAGACGGTGATGAGGTCTCCCCTGTGACTACGGCAACTAAGTGTGAAAAGACTTAATTTCTTCAGTCTTTCCTCGTATGATTTGTTGCGGAGGCCGACCACCCATTTTGTCGCTCGTCTCTGGACACTTTCTAGAATGTTAGCATCCCTTTTGAGTAGCGGAGGAGCAATGATATTATGCACCTCAAGGAGTGGCCTCACGTATGTCGTATACAACGTTAAGAATAGTTCAGGAGTAAGAGCTCCCAGCTGCCTATGCATAAAGTGTAAAGTAGCGTAAGCTTTGGCGACGTCCCTCGTGTGATTTATACTGGTGTCTAGCTTTTCTGTTAAAATAAGACCTAGATCGCGTTCTGATGACACACAACTCAAGTTCTGGCCACCAAGGGTGTAATTTACACTCTGTGACCTGCCGGAATGAATTTGCACTACTTTGCACTTCTTTAGGTTGAAAGGCATTCCGTTAGTCAGAGCCCAGTCTTCCAGAGTTTGCAGGTCAGCCTGCAATCTGTCTGAGCCTTCCGATGAGTTTATTGCTCTCCAAATCTTTGCGTCGTCAGCGTAAAGAAGCGCAGAGCAGTTCAGTTGACAGGGCAGGTCGTTGATAAAAATCAAAAACATCAACGGCCCTAAGATAGAACCCTGAGGAACCCCTGATGCCGAGGTGTGCCAGGGTGATCGGATGCGGTTGACTTCGGTCCAGAATTCTCTCTCGCCTAAGTAATCTATCAGCCATGCGAGAAGTGCTCCAGAAACACCCGCCTCGCTTATTTTTTGAAGGAGCATACCATGGTGAACTGTGTCAAATGCTTTCGCAAAGTCGAGAAAGATCACATGGACTGTTACCTTTACATCCCAGGATAGTGTCCAATCGTTCCAAGCTAGTAGAAGATTCGTCACACAGGATCTTCCCCTCCTGAAACTGTGCTGTGCTTCATGGAGTAGGTTAGTCACGTCGAAGTGTTTTCTCATGTGGTCGTCAATGAGACTTTCCAATATCTTCGGTATCACTGGAAGTAGCGCAACTGGTCTGTAACTGGTCGCATTTTGCCGGTCACCACCCTTGAAGATAGGGGATAGGATGGCTCGTTTCCATTCGCATGGAAGTTTCCCTACATCAAAGGAGTGTTGAAACAGATCACTAAGGGGTTGGCAGAGACTTTCTGAACACTGCTTCAGGACGGATGGTCTTATGTCATCGCAGCCTGCAGACTTTCCCGAAGCCAACTTTCCCAATTTTACGAGTACCGTAGCCGGGGTAATTTGAAATGTACCCAGCAGGTTTTCGCACGTTGGTCTTCCATTGTAATCTTGATGTTTTGTGGGGGTAAAATCCTCGTTACTGTTTAGTTGCCTGTGAAAGGCTAGACTGAATGTCTCTGCCATTTCAAGACTAGTAAGAGATTTCCCATCAGAACCCACTAGATTGCAAGCTCCCTGGTTGGTCGGTTTTCTTTCAGACATAAACCTGTGTAGGCTTTTGGGGTTCACGAGAAGCTTATTGGCGAGGTTTCTCTGAAATGTCCTTCTATCACTCCGGACTCGTATGTTACATCGATTTCTGAGTTCAAGGTACACTTCATGTTCGGGTTGACTCTTCGATACTCGCTACGCAAACCAGGCTTTTCGCTTCGCCTGCAGAAGGCGTTGTGTCCCCCTTTTTAGCCATGAACGTTGCTTTCTAGCTTTTGGTATGACTAAAGGAACAGTGTCTGAAACCGCCTGGTGAATGATCTCCTTTACCATTCTCCAGTGTTCTTCTACTGTAAGCTCTGTCCAATTTTTTGGCCAATTTGCTTCAGACAAAAGTCTTCGTATTTTGGTGTAATTGGCTTTGTTATAACACAGATAGGGCTGTGTATTGTCCCACTGTAAACGCTCGCGGAGGACTATGCCGAATATTATGACCGCGTGATCACTACTACCGATGAGAGTCATGATCTGAACGTTTTCCACTAGTAGCTGGTCACTAGTGAGCACATAATCCAGTCTAGAAGACTTCCCATCTGGGCCCCATCTAGTATCCATTCTGACATTTTCAGTGAAAGCGGCCTCCCTGATGGTATGCAGCAGATTTCGATCAAATCTATCATGGGCATATCCCGTCATCAAGTTAAGAGATGGGGCATTGAAGTCGCCAGCTATGACAATTTGATCATAACCCATGTCTTGTGTCGCTGAAATTGTATTCAGCAGCACCTGTTTGTGGTCTGCTCCACATGAAGGTGATCGATAAATGCTGCCCACTAGATATTTGCAGTACCCAACGGTGAAATGGCACCATATGGAGTCAGGGAGCTCAGTGAGGGGAGGGTGCCTTGCGTGGACACATCTGAGCTGTTTGTCGACGTATATGGCGACTCCACCTCCTTCTTTCAGGTCCCTATCTCGCCTGACTAGGATCATATCATTTATACTGACTTCGCTGTCTGCCACCGTAGGGGTTAGCCAGGTCTCCGTCAGTATTATGATTTTGGAGTTCAGCTGTGATTGTAGGTATCTAAATTCAGCTATTTTTCCTCTTAGCCCTCTCACATTACTGTACAGGCAACTGGTAGTCAGTCTCACCACGTCCCCGTATTGGGGGGTGGTTGACGTGATGTGGGCTGTCGGTTGAGGAGTTATCCTACGAACTAGTTGGCCGGTTCCCGGGGAATCGGCCAGTTGGAGTTTTTTTCTTCTGGTTCAATCGGAGCACTTGGATGACACTGGCTATCATCGTCCGTGCTGCACCGCTGTATTGTGACTAGGGGTTGGGGATTTTCTTTGACAACGTTTTGTTCTCTCCCTTGGATACGACTCTCGCAGCAGCGAATGTGTCTGCTGACCTTGTCCTTGGTCTCGTACCATCTCTGGAGAGCAGTGGTCAAGTGGTCTCGGGAGGTGAACTTGACAGCTAACAGACGTGGCGTGTTAATTGACATAAGGTGAATGGGTCGAGGCAGTCTATAAATGGAGACAGCCCCTGAACTTCCCAGAGCCATCTGGGATGCCAACCATCTCCATTGCTGTACATCGTGACAGTGCTTCTCACAAATGTTCAAAAACAGTGGGTGTGATATACCCCTACTACTTCTTAAATTCTTCTCAATATCTATGGACACTGGCACTTACCCCAATGAGTGGAAAACTAGCTTCATCATTCCACACTATAAATCCGGTGATAAGGCAAACGTCCGCAATTACAGACCTATAAATACAACCCCAGTTGTCTCGCAAGTCATGGAGAAAGTTGTCAAAGATCAGTTGTCAGACTATCTACTTAAGGAAGATCTTGTTACAAGGTCTCAACACGGATTTCTCAAAAATAGGTCTTGCGTTACTTGCCACTTCGACTTTTTTAACTGCATCACTAGTAGTCGCGAAGCACGTAAGCTAGTTGTTGTTCTCTACTTCGACATATCTAGGGCATTTGACATGGTATCTCACAGTATCCTCTTTGAGAAGCTGTATTCATGTGGGATTCGCAATCCATTACTGAGCTGGTTAAAATCGTTTCTAAGCAATAGGGTACAAATAACCAAGGTTGGATCTGTATTGTCTCATCCTAGGCAGATCACAAGTGGGGTTGTGCAAGGTAGTGTCCTAGGTCCACCTTTATTTACAGTATACATTAACAGCATTTGCAACTGCTTCACCTCAGGTAAATCATTCCTATATGCTGACGACCTCAAAGTCGTTTACTCCCGCTACGCTCATGAACTAAGCGATATGGTAAATAAAATACATCTTGAACTAAGCAGTCTCGCAACATGGTGTACTGAATCCTGTCTAAAGTTCAACATTGATAAATGCGGCTGGATTTGTGTCGGAAACAGTAACCTTGACCTGAATCTTGAAATAAATGGGCGTAAA